ACCGCTGTTATATTTTACAAATTCGACAACTGTCGCTCATCGTAGGCGTTTGTTCAATATTTCAAAACCAAAACAAGAAATATTTTTATTTATTTTTTCAAAAAATTCAAAAAAGCAAACCGACGAATGTAATTATGATATGAACACGAAAAAATGCATTTAATTAGGAAATCTAGCACACCTGTCGCAAAAAATCGGTCAAAGGAAATATTTTAATTATTTCTTGTGTGTTTCATAAAACACAAACAAATTTTATTTTAATTATGAACATTGATTTGAAAGAAATATTCAAAATAAATCCACAATTTTATGTTGGAGATTCTTAAAACTGAGAGTGCATTATGAAACGTAACAGATGTCGCGAAATACCCACATCGGACAATTATGAGGCAATACTATTTTCTGTTTCCGCTTTTACAATAAACATTAATCTAATTGAGAAGGTGTAAGTACCACCTCTGTAATACTATCATCCCCTTCCACCCTCTGCTTGGTGATCATTGGCATGGATCAAAAAAAACTCACCCTTCTTACTTTGCCCATCTTAGACGTGTAGTATATCCCTAACCACCCCTTCAAGTGAAACATTTAACAGCTGATAGAAACTCGTATGATGAATATTTTCCGGTTGCTAAGCTTCTAAATACCATTTATATTTCAATTTTATTTTACATTGGCCAAAAACAACAATTCGAATTCTTAGCACCTGACATTGGCATGGTGTCACCGTGGCAATGACCCTAGCAATTAATTTTAAATGTTTGCGTTACAAAAAAAAATTCGTTATCAACAGCTTATTTGTTATCTCTTATCTTTCCTTTGGTGCTATAATTTATATTTTTCTTTTACAAAACGCACCACAAGGTTGTCGTTATTGTAAAAATAAAAAAACGACAACAAATATCCATGATCATAACCATAACTACTCGTATGTAAAATATTCCGCCATTGAGAATCTCAAAATATTTCAATGGCAGAGACAAATTGGCCACCTAACAACAACTGTGCGATCTGTTAATTTGGAAAAATAAAATTAATAATATTGAACTGAATTCGGTTGAGAGAGTAAAAGAGCAAATTGTTCGACAGTAAATGGTTTGGCAGTTGTAAAAATGGCGAACCACATGACATCATCTAATCAAACTTACATCCATAGATATTACATGCCTACATGTAAGTTCTCTGTATATGGGAGGCATAGGCACACATTTGTTTGGTGCTCATGTAGGTATGTATGTACATACAACTTGACACACAAACATACTTATAAAAAATATGCGTACACATCAATGTACGCACAATAAGACCGCAAAATTGTGATACCCCAAATCATAACACATTTTCAAAAATTTAAGTGTTGTCAACCTTTAATTCAAACGTATATTGCATTTATAAAATATAAAGACTGGTGTTAAGCTTATGCCAGTGTGGTCTCCATGTTTGAAAGGTAACAGATAGTGTGAACCTCTGAATACTTTAAAGCAGTAAGGAAAAGTCAAAAACCGGGCGGGGCCGACTATGTGATACCCCACACCACTGTGCATATTTAGTTGAGCTCCCGTAACAAAATAATTTATTTCAAGTAGATCATACCACCTATCAACATTTGGCTTTTGAGCAGTTATAGTTGGCTATAGGATTATGTAAAAAATATACATATCGGAGCCAAGCTGCACAAAATGAAAATGTACGTATCGAAATTCACTTCATTTGGGTAGGCATTACTTGCACAATAAACCTGAAATCGGATTAAGGATGTATGTGGGAGTTATATCCAAATCTTAGCCGTTCTCGATAAAATTTGGCAAAGGTATTTCCGAGATTTATAAGATATCTGGTATCAAATATCATTGCTGTCGAATGCATTTTACGAATTTGAGGGACTTAAACACCATATCGGATGAAACATATATATGGGAGATATAGCTATATCTGAACCGATTTTCTCCGAATTCAATGTACTTGCTTCTAGACTGAATTCGGAATTTGCCATTTGGTGCGCAATTAACCCGAACTCGGTTGTAGATATATATATGAGACCTATATCCAAATCTGAACCAATCATGATAAAATTTGGCAGAGGTATCTCTGGGCTACATCTGATAACTGGTACCAAATATCATTGTTGCCGAATGTATATTATGAATGTGAGGAACTTAAACACCAGATCAGATGAAACATTTTGACAAAGTTTGATAAACTTATTTCTGAGCTGTATCTGACATCTTATACGAAAGAAACAAAGAATGTGAGGGACTTTAAACTAAAATCGAATAAAATATATATATGGGAGCTATAGCTATATCTAAACCGATTTACACCAAATTTAAGGTACTGGTTTATTTAGGCTGATATTAGCCATTTGGTGTACAATAAACCTGATATCGAATAAAGATATATATGAGAGGTATACCCTAATCTGAACCGATCTCGATAAAATTTGACAGCGGCATTTTCGAGCAGTATCTGATGTCCGGTACTAAATATCTTTGTTCTGGAGTGCATATTACGCATATATAGGACTTAAACCAAATCAAATAAAACATATATATGGGTGCTATAGCTATATCTCAACCGATATTCCCCAAATTCGATGGGATGTACCAAAATACATGACATTTGGACTTATATTAGCCATTTGGTGCACAATTAACCCGAAATCGGTTGAAGATATATGGGAGCTATATTTAAATCCGATTATCACCTATTTCAATAGGGTTCTTCCTTGGGCCAAACAAATATTGTTTGCAAAATTGCATGTTAATCGGATAATAAATGCGAACTGCATTTTGTTTACAAGAATACATGGACAGACAGACGTACGGATAGACGGACTGACATGCATAAATCGACTCAGAAAGTGATTCTATGAAGATCCTTAAATGTAATTATGGGTCTAGTGTAAAAATGGAATATATCGGTTCCTTCCTTTAGTTTTTGAAAATTCGAACTGAAAGGGTACGAAAAGTATTAAAGCATACTAAAAATTGAATACTTCATTTTGGACAAACGGGTCGAGCTAGAAAGTTGGAATAAGGGTCAGTGAACAGGTACAGGATAAATGTACCGAAGATTTTGTGAAAATTCTATTTTTAAGGTTATGAAAGGTTCTAAAATGGTAATAGAGATAAAACTTCAAATTTTGTAGAAGTATTAAGTTTGATATATGAAGGGGTTTTGGAAATGTGTACAAAGTGTGCGAACTGTACTACATCGTACTCAATTTGGAATAGTTTGGTTTAGGGCGAACTTGAAATTTTGTATTAAGGTTGATGTTCATGTGTAGCTTTGACATATGGTGGTGATTTGGGAAGTGTATATTATAGCATTACGAAAAATAAAACCATTTGGACAAAATTTGGTCTTTGTTGTATCCCTTATACAGGTAAAATTGTGAAATTTGATATTTACATTACTGTAGTATTTGCGTTTGGGATTTGGAGGCGGTTTGAAAAGGAGAACGACAGTTACTAAATCGCACGGGCCCTCAAATTTTTTACTTTGGTCTCTGTTGGTATTCGGAATTGAGATATGGAGGTGGTTTTAGAATTGTGTACTATAAATGTACGAAAAGTAGTAAATGGTACTAAATTTGGTATCGGGTGAAGGAATAGGCCTTGAATCCTCAAATTTGATATTGAGGTCTTTGTTGCCATCAGGGATTGAGATACAGGGGTGTTTCTGGAAAAGGGCCAATTTTGGACACTGTTGGTGTCTAGGATGAAGAGATATAGATTGTTTTAGATATGTGTACTAAATATTACTAAAATGTTGGTATTGGGTGAAGAGATAGAGTTCAAATTCTGCAATTTTATACTGAGGTCGCTTTTGATTTCTAGGATATACACATGGAGACGTTAAAATAGGTTTGGACAGAAAAAAAAGCAGTTGGGTCCATTGTAAAATTGTTCTACTAATATCTTCCTTGGGACCTTCAAAATTAAAGATTTTAAAGACTTTTTGGTGTAAAAGGTAAACTTTTCCCTATTATTCTTTCCGAAAAAGGAAAATTCTGAAAATTTAGGGCGTTGTATTAAATTTTGATCAAAAAAGTTTTTCAAACTGAACAAATTGTGCCTTTTAAGTACTTAAAAGGCCACCAGAACTCAAGCGCCGGCCATGGTGATGGTATGAGCAGCCATAACAGCCGATAGGCCGCTCCGCTCGTATTAATCGACCGTGGCATCAGAATAAATGCCGAATATTTTCGCGAAAATATTCGGGAGGGTGTATTAAAACCTTGGGCACATTTTGGCCGCAGACCTTGGACATTCCAACAGGACTCAGCACCATCGAACACCTTGACGACGACTTTCTCGTTTTCAGAATCCCCAACTTCCTAAATTTACAAGTCGACATGTTATCACACTTAAATGTTTCCTTTGTTTTTTTTAGCTCGTGTTAGCATCACTGGCCCAAATATGCTAAAAGCTATTACAAACTTTATGTACATGTTGGCCTTGTTTTGCGTTAATTGCTCTAGCCGAGAGACTTACAATCAAAAGAGAATTCATTGTCAATGCAAACATAGAAATCATAATTTACACACACACACACACACAGACACTCATAATGAGAGAATTGTATGTCTGGTTGTTAGACAATTCCGGCAACAAAATCTTGTATTCCATCAATGACCAAACGGATTAAGATGATAAGTTACAAATTGTTTTGAAGCAAATTCGAATGGTTCCGATAGAGCTTTTCAAAAATAAAACCGAAAGAAGAACAAACATTTTGTTTCATCTTCAATAAAAAAATATTAACATTCTTGGAATGATGTTTCCGAACACATGTTTGTTTCCTCTTCCACGTATGTATGTAATATGTAAGTATGTGTGTTTAGTACTAACAACCATTTACACTTTGCGCAATGAACAAACAAACGAAATTTGGGAATCTTGGTAATGATGATTTCAGTTTTCAGCCTAATGTGTTTGACAGTCAGAATATGTTTGTTGTTGTTGTATTTTGGTTATTTTCTAGGCTGTAATGCTTACCTGCTTGATTGGATCTTTAAACAGACGATTTGTTTTTGGTTTTCTAATATCCATGATTTGGTCGGGCTGTTTGGTTCGGTTATTACCCTGCTGGGCTGAGATGTTGGTTGGGTTGGAGTTGTTGGTTTGTTGATGCTGTCGTCGGTAATATCTTCTGGTTTATTAGATCTTAAAACTCTTACAGGTTTTTGGTAGGCATTTACAAAGAATTAACGCCCGAAGATACAAATTCTTGTTCCTATTTTATTTCCTTACTAGCCAGCCAGCTGGCCATATTTTGTTTGGTTCTCTTCTTCACTTTTTCGATAATGTAATCTAACCCGTTTCAATTTTTGTTATCACTTTTTTCGATTTTTTTAGTTATGCAGGTTAATTGGAAAACTGAGTTGTTTTATTGAAATTTTATTCAATTTTCTGTTTTGAATTCCAAATATATTTTTTTAAAAAACATATATTTCACTGTATCTTCTTCCGTCTGGTTGTCAATAAGATCAAAACTTTATGGAACTCTATGAGAATTTTTCACAGTTTTCATTACTTTTTCTTCTTCTTTTCTTCTCCTTCATGGGAAACGTAGTAGGTATGTATTGTTTAGTTTTTTCCTCCTCACAAGAAGAAAAGGAACGTTGTTATGGGTTCTCCTAGTGTCGTCTCTATGGCAAAACAACAACCTGCGCAATAATATTCTTTGTAACAAAAGCAACAAAAGAAGTCGAATAGAATAAACCGTGTAGGTACGACTACTTCACGTAGAATATATAAGATTTTATTAATTGTTGTTGTTTCTGCTACTGTTTACAAAGTACGTTCTATGTTACATACACACTCGGACCGAAAGATACACTCAATGTTTTTAACTACTATTGTACATGGATTCTATCGGGAATACACCACAAACAACCACCACCACGCAACAACGAATTCACGTACGAAAATTTTATCGAATAAAGCAGCGCTACGAAACATACGTTCGTTTCGTACGAACGCACAACTATGTTTATTCGCTTATGTTTTGAAAATGTTCCCCGAAACCCATTAAAGCATAAAATCAACCAGACTACTACACATGGCTGGCAGCAGCAGCGGCAGTCCCAGCCTGTCACCCCTCACCCTCCTAGACGTCGTCTTGACCCACAAACATTTTCCCATTCATGTGTTTTGTTGTTTTGTTTACATCTCTCAGTTTCTGTATTCTCTTTTACTTCGTGGTGTAATTTTCACGCTCTCGACTCTCATATAAACAGAATGCGTGGTTCTCTTCTATTACAAGAGTTAAGGGTTACCACACTGTATCAGGGATGGAAAATTAAAACCACTAAGAAATTGAGCAACAAATTTCGTATAAAGAACTACTGACAAAAATAATGACAACCACATCCTAACGATACTTTGATAAGCACATACAGGGTGAGATAAAAAATACTGCAACCAACACACACTACTGTTATTTCCAAGCCACTCGTCCGACAGCTCTTAAAATTATTTCAGTGACAGCTCATTACAATGTTTACAAGCGTACAAAGGGCCTATTCCCGGCGAAGCGCTTGCTTGAGGTGATCGGCACTTTGGTGTTTTTTAGAGCCAACATTGCTTTCCAAAATACTTCAGACACAATGGTCCAACGGATTGGTATCCGGGGATTATGGTGGACATTGTGCGCTGGAAATGAAGCGAGGAACCTCATTTTGTAACTATTCTTGGATGGCTTGTGCTGAGTGCGATGGTGCTGAGCGCAAGGCTTCAATATACCTTCCAGAATATTTTCGCGATAAAATTCGACATTTATTCTGATGTTATGGCGGCCCACTCCATCACCCTGGCCGGCGCTTGAGTTCTGGTGGCCAACCGAAGGTGCATATTTTCAGCTAACCTCTTTGGCAAGTAAACACGATAATTTTGCTTGTTTACAAACTGCTGGACAACGAATGTTTTCTCATCGGAAAAAACAAAATTCGGTAGTTCACTACTTTCGGCCAAGCGAAGCAACTCTTTAGCTCTTTTGAGTCCATTTATTTTCTGATGCGGTGTAAGTTCTTGCACTTTTTGGAATTTTAATGACTTTACCCCGAGCTCATTTTTCTATATCTGCCGAATGGAATAATGTGATATGTTTAGCTCACGAGCCATTTTTCGGCCACTGAGACGCGTGGTTCGATCAAGTCGCTTCTTTACTTTTCAAACCATTTCTGCTGATGTTGCTGTATTCTTCCGTCCATTGCCTTGACGTCAGCCTACGCTACCAGTATCACGGTAGCGAGCAATGGTACGAGACACAAAAGATTTATTCACGTTATAACGATAACCACTTGTGGTTTTCCAGCGAAATATAAAGAAATCACACTATCACGCTAGAATTCCATCACGAATAACTTTTTTTCTTCAAAATTCTCACCAAAATGCTTTTGTACGCTTGTAAACAATGTAATGAGCTGTCACTGGAATAACTTTAACAGCTGTCGGACGAGTGGCGTGGAAATCACAGCAGTGTGAAGTTGGTTGTAGTTTTTTCATCTCATCCTGTTTTTCATCTCTGTTGGAACACCGACTTAAACTTTCATATTAAATTTTGGCAAAATATGTAACTTCCACCATATCATCTGACATCCATACCCTCTCATTAAAAATTAAAATAAAAAAGTGATTTCAAAGTTTCGATCACTTTTTGTCAATTTTGTTCCTTTGTTGCTGGAATTTACGACCAGCGGAAAAGTTTATTTAAATCCTTAACTTCATTCGATTGATTCCAAAAGTCATCACAAGAGATTAAGTGTTGGCAACCCTGTAACGTGTAAAATATTCACTGAATATCAAATTGTAGCTAACAAATTAAAGAAACGGCCTTGAGCCAACTTCTCTTATACAAATATTTGAAGAGAGATGATATTTTCAAAACAAACAAAAATAAAAAAACACAGAGATAAATTTGTGTACGCAAAAAATTGAGTAGCAGGAGAGAAGTTCAGTATACTCTCAGCAACAAACACAAAAGATCTACAAAACCCACGTTAGTTGGATGGTTATCTTACTACCTACTCGGTTACATTGTTTAGAAACCTTTTATCGTTGGTGGTACATTGTCATTGTTGTCTGGTTGGGAATATTAAATGCGCAACATGAGATAACAATAGAATGGGTCAACTATATATTTTCTTACATCAATTAAAGTCAATACAAACGAATAGGTTATTAAATGTACATACATACATTCATATACATATATCTGATCATGAGATACAATTACAATTTCCAATGGTACCTTAATAACTAACACTGCAAAGTGTTAGAACTAATGGCCATGCATTTCTCGTCTCCACATTACCCCCTCTAATGTTTTGACTTCGGTTGAGGGATCACCGATAACTTTGTAGCACATAACAAAGTGTCTTTCTGCATACAAAGATATCTACGTACACACCACGTTGTAGACCACTTTTCACATCATCAGCCAACGAGTGCAACCTACACACTCACTCAACAACGGCTTATTAATGAAATGGACAGGTTATTTAGTGCGGACGACCTGTATCGTCGAAATGGTTTTACAACATTTTAACTTTCTTTTGATAGCGTAATGTGAATACGTTTTAATTATGGTTTCGACGCACAAAAAATATATGGGGCAACAAATTTACATACCCACTGATGTATGAATGTGAAAAGGTTTCAATCTGTATCTGGTTGGGGGGTTTTACTTTCGTTTCCAGCGTTCTAGTTTAAAAATATCTTATTTTTGTAAATCAAAATAATTATTTGGAGCAAAACTGTTTAGTATTGAATTTGATATCCACAATTTTTACAAATGTGTATTTGGTGTTAAGGTATATTTGTGGTGAAGAATAAACGAAACCCTCAAGATACAGATGGATCAATAACTACTTCTTAAAAAATTATCCCATTAATTAGGGTAAGAGTACCAGTAGTCGGCACTTTAGGATTTTCGATTTTTCAATCTTTCAACATTCTGAGTGAAATCTTTCAAATGCAAAAAAATAAAGTTGTTCAGATTCCAAATTTTGTTTACTTTTCGAAATAATAGACAAAAATTGAATTTGTTTTAATAAAATTGGCAAAATTTGCAATTTCATTAAAATAGTAGTTTTTTGCCAGTAGTCGGTACCATTTACCAATGCTCGGCATGTCTATTTGCCAGTAGTCGGCATATGGTATTTCAGCAAAAAAAATATTTTTTGTATATTTTTTTATTTCAAATAGTATAAAACAATGCCATATTACTAATTCACAGCTTGATCCAGAATTTGAAATTAATTTCGTTTTTAAATAGTGTTTTATTCAATTATCATTCGTAACCAAATATAGGTAGAAAATCAAGAATAGTATGGTTACCTTCAGTAACTTATGGATTTTCAATTAAAATAAAAATGAGATTAAATAAAGAAAGAAAAAAATACCTTTCTTATATTTCTTTTTCCTTCAGATAGCCAACATTTTTTTTTTCAAAAATGCTACTGCTATCTGAAACGTCAAATATCGTAACTTAGAGTATATTTTTGCGGGTATCGGGAAATAATTGCCATTTTTATATCACGAATACAAATTAATATAAACAAACACGCAATGGTAAGATCGATATATGTAACATCATGGCTCTAGGACCATATTTCGATGTTTTAGACTTTTTGGTCCACTTAAACGTATAATTCCTTCAACACATAGTGTTGTAGGGTATATACGGGATTTATATAAGGATTTGCATTTGGAAATAATTTGTAAGATATAGTGTAGGGTGTAAAGTATAGGAATATGACGGGAATTGTGAATGTTTATATAAAGGTAACTGTAGAAGGGGTACTTGACAGAGTGTTATAGTAGAGCTGGAATTATAACATTCGGTGTGATGATCACTGAATGTGAGTGGATGAAATGGGATGCAGCTTAAATTTTAAAAGAGGTAATATCCCACATGGTACTGCTTAAAACACAATATCGAGATAACGGAAATGTTTGAAAAATTGCACATAAACCAAATACCTGAAATGACGAACCTCTCTTTTGAACTTTCAAGTATGTTCATATCAAAACCTGAACACATGACGACAATTTTCTTCAAAGAGTTGTTAATCGCATTGAGAACATAAAGACAGAAATTCAGGCCCGCCCGACGGATGAACAATATTCGTGGGAACTAAGCTATATCTGAACCGATTTTCACCAAATTTCATATAATTTTCTTCCATGCTAAATTCGTTCGACTCCATTCAATTCAGGTTTATATTAACCATTTGGAGCACAATAAACTTGAAATCGAGTAAAAGTAAATATGCGAGCTATATCCAAATCTGAATCGATCACGATAATCTTTAGCACATATATTTCCGATCTGTATTTTATATATTTTGGGAGCTATAGATGTACCTGAACCGATTTTCATCAAATTTGGCATACCTATTTCCAGGCTTAATTTGGTCGTATGTGCAAAATTTCATACTATTTGGGCTGATATTACACGGTTTGTGCACAGCAAAAGGAAAATTGGGCGAAGATATATATGGGAGCTATATCTAAATTTTAACCGATTATCTCCAATTACAATAAGGTTCGTCCTTGGGTCATTTGTTTGAATTGTGCAAAATTTAATCTGGTTCGGGCAAAAAATGCGACCTGTACTTTGTTTACAAAAATACATGGACAGACAAACGGACGGACATGCATAAATCGACTCAGAATGTGATTCTATGCAGATTAACAAAATGAATGGGTCTATCTCGTTTCCTTCTCTATATAACAAACAAATGCACAAAGACATGATAGCCTGGCCAACTTGGGGTGTAGAGTATAAATACAACAGAAATTTATGGAAGTATGGTGATGGAACACGAATAGCGCACAGTCTCATTACTAGCAATTGTGACGGGTATAGTACCTATTGATTTGGTAGCTTCAATGCAATTTAGAAGAAGAAGGCCTCAGAAGACCGGGAATCACCTCGAAGTGATACGAAATTAGTGCCAAGGTACCGTAGATCAAGCCCGACGTACCACGATGGACAACGGCTCATGTGAACCAGTAAAGAAAGTCTTAAAGTCG